CTCACCTCACAATAATTGTTTCAAATTATTTACAAAAAAATATTAATGTCTCTAAGAAAAGTTATTTTGTAGTTACAAAAATAATCAAGTTTCATTGTTCATTCACATTTTTTTATCTATGTACATCGTGAAAATATTTTCTCTTAAGAATAATATATTTTCCAAAGCAAAAGGAATACGTCACGAATATAATCTTTCACGAAAAATTGTGTTGGCCCCAAATCAGCCGTATATACATTTGATAAGGGAAAAAGTAGTCCCTCCATGCACAAACATAAGATGTTCTAACTTTTTTTTTTCTGAATCCGATGTCTATATGCACCCAATTCAGAAAAAATAACTCGTGTTTGTTCACTCATTTCAGCCGGTATGTTATTCAAATATCCAAAACATCTTATATTTCTGAATGGAAGGAATATATCTGGACACCAAAATATTTGGTGAGATTTGTTTGGTGAACCTGATTCTCAAATCATCATGACACTTCATTGTCAACTTAATGCCTTAGAGCAAGTACAATAGAGCTGAGTCAGCGGGCTATAAGAAATAAACTAATATATTTCTGCTTAGTTGGAGGAAAGAGAAGAGGAGAGAGAAGGTAAGCGGGCTCTTCGTGAAGAGCCAGCTCTAGCACGTGCTCCTAGGCACTTTGTGAGAATGAGAAGTGGGCCACATAATAAAAAAGTAGTATACTCTTTTGATCTATTATTATACATGTGGGCTATAAGATGGGCCGTAGATGACATGGCACTGGCTTATAGCCAGCAGCTGGCTATACTATTAACCATGCTCTTATTGTGTTATGTTTTGCTGTTCCAACATGGTGCTTTATGATGCTCGAATTTTGGGAGAAACATGTGCATTAATGCCCAAATTATTTTTACAAACTGTTTTTTTTACGTGACAGCATCATGGTTATGCTTAATTTTTAGTTAGATACGGTCATACAATTTGCATATCACATTTTTTCCCATGAGCAGCTATATTTGTGAATGGAGGGATTAGTATTTTGTACAGTTTACACCAATGAAAACACGAGTACATACATAGACTTCTTTAATGGAGGGGTTAGGTTCTTTGTGATGAAACCAGCTCACCCAGATTCAAATCCTAAACTTGACGTTGGTGCTCGTATTTTTTTGGATTTATTTCAGACTTTTCTGTATTTAGGCTTTTCAATCCTAAATCTTTTGTCAAACTCAAAATGATGTATCGACCTAGTCTCTCGAAGATGCTCATATAAGTTGGGTGTGCATGCGTGTGTTCGTAGTAGTGAGTGTATGTGCATATGTATGACAGTATGAGGGTCGGCACTGTGTTGAAACAATAGGATCACGCCGTGAAGGAAGCGGCTGATCGGACACACCCTGGGCAATCTTGGCAAAGCATCCTTGGGATATCATTTTATTCTCTTTCCTTTTGCTGAAAAAGGGGGCAATTTGACAAGCTGCTCTTTCTTTGGCTCGCTGACTGCCCGAGGGCATTGTTGCGTATATGCACACACCGGCGAGCTCATCAATAAAACGGATCCTGTCGCTGCCCGAGGTGTAGCGCAGCGACGCCGAAGACCGGCACACCGGCGAGCTCCAGGGTGACGAACTGCAGTGCGCCGGCTAGGGGCGGACGCGCCGGAGAGCTTCTCCCATCGAGAATCCCAGCCGATGACGAGGATCTGCTTGTCGGGTGGCTCTGCCTGCCCCTGGGTCCGGCCCATTTCAGCCCAGCACCATAGGGGCCAAACCGGTGCTTCAGCCGACGGCGCCAACCAGGCCGTCATTAGCGATTAGTGCCCTAAAAAATCATTAGCGATTAGTACTAATTAGGAACCAGGCCGTCATCTTATAAACTGGATTCACTGCCTTTGCCTCGCGCCCCACGGTAGATACACGGCCGTCAGCTGAGAAAAAAAAATAGGCCACATCAGCGAGACTGCCTCTCGGTTGTAGGCCTGTGGCTGCATCAATGCAAAACGCGTCCCTGCATTGATCAGAAACCATGGGCCGAAGCTGACGCATACGGCCGAAAATCATATATGTATCACCGTGGGACGCGCTATGTGCTAGACACTAGCACCATGCTTTTTATTTTTATTTATGCTTCCGTCCTATATATGTGCTTTGATTTTGATTTTTATTTTAAAAAATATTTTAAAGTTTACAAAACGCGTCCAAATTTATTTAGAAAACTATTTATAACTACAATATTAAATATATAAACATATTTAATGGTTTTAGTTCGGTATTCTAGGTATTCATATATTTTTATATAAACTTGATCAAATTTTACAATGATTAATACACGCTATATTTTAAGACGACTGGATCACATATTAAATATTCGAAATCACGTCATTTTTTATCATAAGCTAGATCTTTTTTTTCAGGTAATAAGGTAGATCTTTGAAAGAGACCACAAGAATTTTTAATTTTATCCTAGAGATCACAATAAAATGTTTAGGTATCCTACGGAAGTTCTTGATAGCCAATGAAATGAGTATTATGCGATTCATGTGATTTGTTCTAAATTCGCATAAATGCATATACAATAAATTGTATGTATCACTTTGGAGCACACAACATTATTTTTCGTGAAAGAGGATTTGTATTACTCAATCAAATGATTATAGTCTGAAGTACATACATCCATTTCATTGTCTAGTCGAGAACCTAACTAGATTGCGGTATTACTACCTATACAAATGTTTGACATATGATGAAGTGGTAATTATTAGTAATACAAATTTTTACGGTTCCCTCTCATAATCTCCTTTATTTCATGCACCAAGAAAGAGTGACGTGATGGTTCATGCTTCGAGCTTTGAATCATCTTCATGCCTTCTTGATATTTATTGGTGTAAAAATTAGCACCATGTTTTTTTATATATATTTATGTATAAATTAATAAAAATGTTTTCGGAAATCCAATTCGGCTCCTAGGTGTCGGGGTTGAATCCGGCGGATATTCGGTAGGGGGTTCCGAGCTGGTGATTTTGGCTAAATGGTAACATGACAAAGATGGACATGGGCTTTTAACAAGGTTCAGACCATCTCGAAGAGGTAAACCCTACGTTCTGCTTCTATTGTATTGATTTTGGTTGGAGTACACAGTACAAGATGATCTACCTCGAGATCGTATGTGAATGAATCTGACCCTATGGTCTGAACCCCTTGCTTATATAGGCACCGGGGGTACCTAGGGTTACATGTAGCTAGGTCGGTTACGTTGAGGGATAAACATGACGACGATTTAAACGCGACACGGAGTATGCGCCAAGTCTCCGGAGGATTCCATCTTGGGTGCGCTGTGGGGCATGGCAAACATGGCCCACTCGTAGATTGTCTAGGAGTCCCCGACCTGGCCCTATGGTCTGAACCCCTTGCTTATATAGGCACCGGGGGTACCTAGGGTTACATGTAGCTAGGTCGGTTACATTGAGGGATAAACATGACGACGATTTAAACGCGACACGGAGTATGCGCCAAGTCTTCGGAGGATTCCATCTTGGGTGCGCTGTGGGGCATGGCAAACATGGCCCACTCGTAGATTGTCTAGGAGTCCCCGACCTGGCCCATGATTGGGGGGTCGTGGTGGTGGTTAGCACCCGTTAGTCCATGACACCGTACCAGGTGCACATGCTCCTCATGTGGAAAATGATTTTAGAAATTTCAAAAATCCAAACAAAATTTTAATATGTTCATAGTCACATGCAAGTGCTACCTGCAAATTTTTAGGAAAAATGTTAAGAATTTTGGACTGAGAAAAAAACAAATTGATCACCAAATGTCACCCCCAAATTGTTGCATCTAAATTTGTTTTTTTTCACCAATAAAGCACTGCTACTCTATTTCGCATGAAAATTGTCAAGCATGCTTCCGACACTAACACAAAAATCTAAAAAAAAGAATCATGTTTTTTAGTATTTTTATTTTACTATTCATCTAGGAGAAAATGCACCCGAGAGCCAAAACGCCATCCCCAAATGCACTACAATCTTGTTGTTTCTATAGAAACAACTATTGAGAGGGGGCATCTTTAGCAATTTGGTTGCTATTTTTTCGGAACAAAGACACCCATAGGGCATCTTAGACCCGATTAATATCAAGAAAAACAAAAGCTGGTATAAAGGATTGACAACTGGACGTAGAACAACTAGTAAATAGTAAAATTAAATTTAAAAATATACTAGTCATCTTCTTCCTCTAATTGCACATCCATCTTTTTTTGTTAGTTTGATTCTTTGTGCAGGTGAAATTTTTAATCGACATCATGATGAAGGTATAGTGATTCAACAACCTGTACTTCTAGGGGATCATCCCCGGTCCAAAAAATGTTTATCGATCAAGGCTTCTCATCTTTTTAGATGGACGACTTGAGGCATTTTCAAAAACCATTATTGATAATGTTTTTGCTAGTGAAAGAATGGCAACATCGTTGCCCCAATCTAATTTTGCAGCCTCTTTACCGTAGTCTTTGGTGTATTTCTTCAATTAGAGATTGATACCGCGAAGAAGGTGTTTACAAGAGATTTCATTGTAATTCTTAGTCGTAGGAGTTACTTTGTATTTTTTTGAATCTTAAGTTGAAATAAGTGTACCTGTAATTGTTATGAGTATGAATAAAGTTGCATGTGTTTATAAAATAAAAACAAAAACAAAGGCTTA